CATTGACGATGAAAAATACACAAAAGGTAAGTTGAGGTGAGAGAGAGAGAAGTAATGAATGGGAGAGTAACAGTACTAATGAGGTGATTGCTAATTATTGAGGAGAATGAGAGGGAGAAAGAGAGTGTGAGAGAATGTGAATGAAAGTGAAAGTGAAGAAAGAAGGAGTGAGTGGGAGAGTGAGATGGAAGGAGAGAATGAGTGAAATAATGAGTGAGTACTGAGTAAGTGGGTGAATAAGAGGGAAGGAGAGGGAGTGAGTGGGAGAATAAGAGGGAAGGAGAGGGAGTGGTGAATGCCAGTGAGTAAGGGAGTGAGTGGGAGAAGAGAGGAGTGAGAGTGGGAGAGGAGAGGTAATGAGTGCGTGCGTCAGAGACCCGGCATAATGAAGTGTGTAATAAATATGACAAGATTTATGAAAGAAACACAAAAAAAAACAAAACATTATCACCACAAAACGACCACACAACGACTATAACACACACACACACACACACACACACACACACACACACACACACACACACACAATGAACACTGCACCAAAATATGGATGGATTGTGTGTGTGTGTGTGTGAGATTTCAACAGACTAACGCTCCGTGGACCACAACAACGAGCCTCTGGGAGAAGAAGAAGAAAAGGGAAGAGAAAGACTTTGTTTACTATGAGGTTTCACACACAAACACACGAGGACAGAGGGGTTAGGTACGGGTGACAGGACAAATCTCACGCAAACACATGAAACCATGGAAAATCCCAGCCAAGGAAGGAGGGTCAGGAGGAGGAGGGACCAGGGGAGGTGGGTCCACGGGGAGGAGGGTCCAGGGGAGAGAGGGTCAGGAAAGAGGGACCAGGGGAGGAGGGTCCAGGGGAAGAGGGTTCCAGGGGAAGAGGTCCAGGGAAGAGGGGTCCAGGGGAGGAGGGTCAGGGGAGGAGGTCCAGAGGAAGGAGGGTCTGGGGGGTGGGAGGTCTAGGGACGGAGGGTCAAGGGAGGAGGGTCCTGGGGTGGGAGCGTCCAGGGGAAGAGGGTCTAGGGAGGAGGGTCTAGGGAAGAGGGTTCAGGGGAAGAGGCCAGGGAAGAGGGTCCAGGGAGGGAGGGTCTCTGGGGGTGAGCGTCTAGGGAAGAGGGTCCAGGGAGGAGGGCTCAGGGAAGAGGGTCTAGGGAAGAGGGTCCAGGAAGAGGGTTCAGGGGAGGAGGGTCCAGGGGGAGAGGGTCCAGGGAGAGAGGGGACCAGGGGGAAGAGGGACCAGGGGGAAGAGGGTCCAGGGGAGGAGGTCCAGAGGAAGGAGGGTCTTGGGGTGGGAGGGTCAGGGACGGGAGGTCCAGGGACGGAGGGTCCAGGGGAGAGGCCTGGGTGGAGCGTCCAGGGAAGAGGGTCCAGGGAGGAGGTCAGGGGAGGAGGGTCTAGGGAAGAGGGTCCAGGGAGGAGGGTCCAGGGGAAGAGGGTCCAGGGAAGAGGGTCTAGGGAGGGTCAGGGAAGAGGGTCCAGGGGAGAGGGTACAGGAGGGAGAGGGTCCAGGGAGAGAGGGGACCAGGGGAAGAGGGACCAGGGGGAAGAGGGTCCAGGGGGAAGAGGGTTCAGGGGGGAGGGAGGGTTCAGAGGAAGAGGGCCTGGGGTGGAGGGTCCAGGGGACGGAGGGCCAGGGGAGGAGGTCTGGGGGTGGGAGCGTTCAGGGAAGAGGGTCCAGGGAGGAGGGTTCAGGGAAGAGGTCCAGGGGAAGAGGGTCCAGGGGAAGAGGTCCAGGGAGAGGGTCCAGGGGACGGAGGGGTCCAGGAAGAGGGTCCAGAAGAGGAAGGTCTAGGGGTAGGGAAGGAGGCATGGGGGCGAGGGGAAGAAAGAAGGGGGGTACTGGAACCAGGGGAGGAGGAAGGGGAGAGTTCGATTGTCATGGAAAGAAAAGGATGGGAAGGTGCCAAGGGGGGGTAGAAGGGGGAAAGTTATATGGGGGGAAGAAGGGGAGGGAGGTGGACCAGTGATAAAAGGAATTAGGGGGGCTGGGGTAAGGGACAGGGGGTTAGGGGGAGAATGGGGTAAGGGGGGAGAAGGGGAAGGGAGGGGAGAAGGGGACAGGGAGTAAGGTGGAGAAGGGGGTAAGGGGGGAGAAAGGATATGGGGGGTAAGGGGGAGAAGGGGGTGGGGGAGAAGGGGAAAGGGGAGAAGGGGGGACAGGGGGTAAGGGGAGAAGGGACAGGGTAAGGGTGGAATGGGGATAAGGGGGAGAAGGGGACAGGGGTAAGGAGGAGAAGGGGACAGGGAGAGAGGTGACCTGGGTAAGGGGACGGGAGGTAAGGGGAAAGGAGGACAGGGAGTAGGAGATCAGGAGTTGGAGGGGTGTTGGGATATCAAGGGGCAAAAAAGGCATGGGGGTTGGGGGGGGAGGAGCCGTAGAGTAGAGGCCGCCGGGTTTTATGGCCAGGCAGAACAACACGGCAGCACTAAACCAGAGAACTTCATGAATACAAACAGTAAGGCGACGGAATTACAAATAACTTTTTACGTGGCCTTCTTTATTCACCTCCCACCAACCCCAGCGATATGATACCGTTCGTCGTGTTAATCCCAGGGTAAGGGGTAAGGGGAGGGGGGAGGGTAGTCTGACCTTCGTTAAAACCCCAGAAAGAAAATAATTAAGAGGGTGGGCAAAATCTGTCTGTCTGTCTGTCTGTCTGTCTCATATGTATTAGCGTTTGAGCTCTGTCTGTTCAGTTCTGTATATATATATATATATATATATATATATTAGCGTTTGGGCTCTGTCTGTCTGTCTGTCTGTCCTTTCAACCCTTACGCCTGCCTCATTTGCTTGCTTTCACTATTTTCCGGTCCTCTCACAATCACTCATTCACCACTCACCACCACCACCACCACCTCCCTATCTCTCAGTCTCCATCTCTTGCTTACTCTCTCAACACTCACACCTGCCTCGTTATCTCTCGCTGGTAATTTCATCTCTTCTCTTCCTATCTCCCCAATCCCTCCTTATCTCTTTTTTCTGCTCTCACAGATCCAATCCATATCTCCCTTCCATTTTCCTCCGTTATCCCTATTGGCTTTCCCATCCCTCCCCGTACCCTCACTGCTAATCAGCCAAAGCATTTACTTTTAAGAACTTTAAGGAGGAAGAAGGAGAGGAAGGGTATGAGGGGTAAGGGGTGGTGTAAGGGGCAGATAGGGACGGGGAGGGAGGGGAGGTATATAAGTGGTAATGGGTCGGGGTAGATAAGGGGTGAGGGGAAGGGTAAATGAGAGGGAATTATAGGGGGTTATGGAGAAAGGGAAATGACGAGAGGTGAATGAGGGGGGGATAAGGGGTAAAGGTAGAGGATGATGAGGGATGGATAAGGGTAGAAGAGGGTGAAAGGGTCAGGGGGATAAAATAAGAAGGTTTCTGAAGGTGTTAGGAGGAGGGGAGGTAGGAGATGATAAGAGGGAACAGGAGGTGGGTAAAGGATGAAGGAATCAGGGAGAAGAGGAGGCAGAAAATGTATACATAAATATACTAAAATAATAAAAACTACCAAATTTATATTATCTTTAACCTCTTCCTTTAAAAATATAAAAACTCAAATAAAAATATATATTAAAAATCACCAATACCCTATTAAACATTACTAATTTATTCTTATGTATATTAACAATGTCATCAAGAACTTAAACTCCTATGCTAAAGTTAATAAGTTTATCCCTGATCAGTTATATCAACAAGTTCCTTTATTAACATCTAAAAATAAATAAAAATATTCCTCACAAAGGACAAAGAGCTTTTAAAATTACTACTAAAATTGTTGGTAATCACTTTAAAGAAAATATTACGTAAAGACTAAGACAAAAGTATAATATATGTACACTTTCTTCCTTATAAAAACAGGAAGCAATTATGTAGTCAATAATAATAATAATAATAATAATAATAATAATAATAATAATAATAATAAAAACAACGATATGATAATGGCAAAAAAGAGATTAAAAAATAGGCAATAAAAATAACGCTGTGGAAAAAATACTGTATAATGGTCAAAATATTTAGAACAATAAAAATACTATGTTAAATACGGTAATTACTACTACTACTGCTACTACTGCCACTACAAGTACGTAAATACTACTACTACTACTAATAATAATAGTAATAACAACCACAATACCACACAACACAATGACTTAACCACAAACAACAACATACCGCCATAACATTAACAACAACAACAAGACAACACGGCTAAAACCCACTCACAACGAATAACAAAATGAAAAAAGACACTTCAAATAAATAACAATTAACAACAACAATAACTACAACAACACCAATAACAACACAATGCTCCACGGAATGCGCACGCTTCCCCTTCCCTTCCCCCCCATTCCCTGTGTACCGCGGAAGAGGGAGGGAGGTGGGGGAGGAAGAGAGGAGGTGGGGAGGGGGGGGCATATGCCTTTACGAGAGGAGGCAAGACCTTAATTGCCAGAGATCGTATCCCAGTTTTGATAGTAACTTTAATCGCATCCCGTGCCAGCACCAACGACCCGCCTGACGACTGGCTGTTAAGAGGGACGTGAGGCGACTCGTCAGAATATCAATCAATCTCGTGCGGATAGCATTTATTGCCACGATAAACCCCACACAACCCCCACTCCACCCACTCCCTCTCTACCCACCACCCGGAATGAGTTTGCGTCAAGTGGTGTTGGAGGGTGCTGCTGTTACTGCAACGTGTGAAGCCTGGAGGAGGGGAGGGAGAAGAGGAGGGGAGAAGAGGGAGGGGGAGGAGAGATGGAGGAGGAAGAGGAGAGGGAGGGGGAGAAAAGGGGAAGGTGAAGGTGATGGGATGGAAGATGGGGAGGAGGATGAGAAGGGGAAGTGAAAGATGGGGAGGAAGAGAGGGGGGAAAGTGTGAGGTGGGGGGAGGGAGAGGAGGAGTGGGAGGTGTAGATACAGGGATGGACTGGCTCTGTGTCAAGAATATGTGAGCGTGTTGTGCTGGGAGTTGTGTTACTGAATGAGTTGTGTTGCTGAATGAGTTGTGTTCTTGAATGAGTTGTGTTCTTGAATGAGTTGTGTTCTTGAATGAGTTGTGTTGCTGAATGAGTTGTGTTCTTGAATGAGTTGTGTCTCTGAATGAGTTGTGTTCTTGATGAGTTGTGTTCCTGAATGAGTTGTGTTCCTGAATGAGTTGTGTTGCTAAATGAGTTGTGTTCCTGAATGAGCTGTGTTGCTGAATGAGTTGTATTGCTGAATGAGTTGTGTTCTTGAATGAGTTGTGTTCTTGAATGAGTTGTGTTCTTGAATGAGTTGTGTTGCTGAATGAGTTGTGTTCTTGAATGAGCTGTGTTCTTGAATGAGCTGTGTTCTAGAATGAGTTGTGTTTTTGAATGAGGTGTGTTCCTGAATGAGTTGTGTTGCTGAATGAGCTGTGTGAATACTTTGTGTTCTTGCCTCGTATCGTTGGTAAAAGTGTCTGCCGGATTTAGATAAGTTGAGTGATTTGTTTATTTGTTACGTTGAATGTTCTGGGCTGGCAGATGAGTTGTGTAAATGTGCTGTGTTGTTGAGATGACTTATGTGAATGCCCCTGTCTCGGGGGTGAGTGAATATGTTGCTTTACTGGATGAGCTGTGTGTGTGTGTGTGTGTGTGTGTGTGTGTGTGTGTGTGTGTTATCCGAGTTGCAAAATTAAGTTGTTACTGAATGAGTTGTATGAATGAGTTATAATCCTTCCATTTAGCTCACTCAAGTTAAATATCCCTTAGTTAATTTCTTGTAATTAATCCACTCAAGATAACATACCCTATTTAATCCACTCAAGATAACATACCCTATTTAATCCACTCAAGATAACATACCCTATTTAATCCACTCAAGATAACATACCCTATTTAATCCACTCAAGATAATATACCCTATTTAATCCACTCAAGATAACATACCTATTTAATCCACTCAAGATAACATACCATTTAATCCACTCAAGATAACATACCCTATTTAATCCACTCAAGATAACATACCCTATTTAATCCTCAAGATAACATACCCTATTTAATCCTCTAATATAACACATAAGATTTAATTCTCCATAAATTGCCATAACATTTTTCTTTTCATAAACTAAATTACCCAAGTTAATATTTTTCTAATTAAATTACAATAACAAATCTCGAAGTAGCTGTAAATTGTCAATAAATCCATTAATATATAAATTTCAGTAAATTTCCAAAAATAATTATATAAAATTCCCAAAAGTATAAATTAGTAAATAGCTCCTCCCTCCCTACCCCTCCCTCCCTACCCCTCTCCTCCTTCCCTACCTCTCCCAAGTCTCATACAGTCGAGTTAACTCACCAAAGCTTATCTGCCCAGGCTAAATCCAGCCAGCTAAATCGCCAGCTTGAAATCCTCGAAATCCTTGCTGGATGGACTTTAAATCGCCTGCCTAGCCCATCTCCTCCCCTACTGAGAGCTAAACCGGTGAGTTAAATCCCCGGTTGGAATCCCCGCTGTTGACTGCAGTACGAGCCACTCAATCCCCTCTCCTTCCCTCCTCTCTTCCTCCTTCTTCCTTTCTATCTTCCCCTTTTCTCCTATTCTTCTTTCCTTCTCCTCTTTTTCTCCTTCTCTTCCCCTTCCCTTCTCACTTAGATAATCCGGTATTTATATACATATTAACGTGGACCTTGTCAAATCAAATTCAACGTTAAATCCGGCCAATGCAAAATCAGTTAGAAAATCGCTCTTGTTAATCCCAAGCTGAGTGCATTTATCTCCCACTTCTCTAACCTCCCTACTTTACCTTTAGAATTAAATCGTCGCTCTGGAAGGCATTTAATCTCCCACTCTCTCTAACCCTCCCTACTTTACCCCTTAGGAATTAAATCCTCGCCTGAAAGCATTTAACACCCACTCTCTAAACCTCCCCACCTCTACCCCCTTAAGAGCAACTGCTCTGAAAGCATTTGAATCTCCCACTCATTCCTCACCCTCTCATTCCTTACCCTCACCCCTTAAATCCCACCTTCCTTCTCCCACATACCCTTGCTAAATCAGGTTAACTTATAAGAAAAGTAGAGTGTGTGTGTGTGAACCCAGGAAGGAATGAAGGAAGAAAGGAGGAAAAAGGAAGGAAGGGAAGGAAGGAAGGAAGGAAAAAGGATTGAAGGAAGGAAAAGGATTGAAGGAAGGAAAAAAGATGGAAGGAGGAAAAGGAAGAAGGTAAAATGGAAGGAAGGAAGGAAGGAAGGAAGGAAGGAAAGAGAGAGTGAGAAAAATTAGGTCCCGCAGGTCAGCAAAGCTTCTAAGCGCCTGGTTTTGTGGGGAAATTTAGTATCGTATTGTATATTACTTGATAAATTATAAATTTAATGCTAAAGAGGGGATGAGGGGGTAAGGGAGGGGAGGGGTGGGGGGATAGGGTGACTGACGGGAAAGAAAAGAAGAGAGGGGAGAGGAGGAAGAGAGGAGGAAGGAGAAAGGTAAAAGAGGGGGAAGGGGTGGGGAAGGGGAGAGGGTGGGGAGAAGGAGAGGGGGGGAAGGGTGAGGGAAGTGGGAGAGGGAAGGGGAAGGGAGGGGAAGAGGGAGGGGAAGGAGGGGGAAGAGGGAGGGGAAGGAAAGGGAGGAGAAAGAGGGAGGGGAAGGGAAAGGGGAAGGAAAGAGGGAGGAGGAAGGGAAAGAGGGAGGGGAAGGGAAGAGGGAGGGGAAGGAAGAGGGAGGGGAGGGAAAGAGGGAGGGGGACGGGAAAGAGGGAGGGGGAAGGGAAAGACGGAGAGGGCTGGAAAGAGGGAGGTGGGGAGAGGGGGGAGACCATCACACACATGAAGAAAAGGGACGATGTGGGTGGAGAGGAGGGGGGAGGTGGGAGGAGCAACAGATGATGGGGTGAAAGACGAGAAGGGAGGGAGGGATGGAGGGAGGGGAGGGAGGGAGGGAGGGAGAGGGGAGGAGGGGGGGAGGAGGGAAGGTGGAGGGAGGAAGGGGGAGGGAGGGAAGGTGGGAGGGAGGGAAGGAGGGAGGAGGGAAGGAGGGAGGAGGGAGGGAGGGAGGGAGGAGGAGGGAGGGAGGGAGGGAGGGAGGGAGAAGTGGTCTGTCCTGGAGACGGAAAAGACAGAATGAAGAATGAGGGAGATTGAGAAGGAATTGAGCGAAAGGAGGAGGGGATAGGGAGGGAAGAGACGTAGACAGTATGAGGAGGAGGAAGGGGAGTAAACGTGAGATGAAGAAGAATAGAGAGAGAGAGAGAGAGAGAGAGAGAGAGAGAGAGAGAGAGAGAGAGAGAGAGAGAGAGAGAGAGAGAGAGAGAGAGAGAGAGAGAGACCAAATAGAATGGA